GATCATCACATGCCGGGATAATGAATAAACATGACGATGATCTGCATATGCATCTAATTCTCCGAATTTTGGGTTGGTAAAATTAGTCCAAATAGAGCTCTAGATTACGTCACGAGGGATCACGGGATTAAACTACTAATTCTATGCGGATTTGACTTATTGGGGGGTAATTAGGACGATAGACTCTTCATGAGTCAAACTCTAATGAGCTATGCCCACTCTGAGTTATATTTTATTGAAGATGAGCTCAAGGCTCTTATATACTAATGTTTTACATACTAAGAAAAGATAAAATTAAATCGATTTTATCTTTTGTATCCTTTTTATCTATTTTATCTATTTTATCGTTTTTATCCTTTTTGTCTTTTTTATCTTCGTCCCACCTTCTACAACTACATATGGCAATTATTGCCGAAAATAGCAAAAATATGTAAAAATAGAAATAGCATAGCCCTATTTCAGGTGGTGCTGCGTCAGATTTGCCCATCACAATTCTCCTCCACTTAATTTATGAGTTCTACGAATAAATCTTAATTCAACTCCAATATACAGCTACATGTTCATCCTTTTGACACCGATTTCATCTTTCAATGCTAGGTCACCGACTACCTAGACAGGATTGGATTTAATGTCAGATTTCTTTACTTCGGGTAGGCCTTTCCTTCTTAAGTGATTCTTTATATTATCTTTTTCAATACCAATTCCATTTTGATAATAATATCCAATTCTGTGTTGGATTTGTCACAGATACACTTTGACATTCCTCTGGGGCTTCTCTAAAGTCTCATCCAGCAGGTAATGTGGACGTTTCCTTCCTTCTTTCTGTTTATTTCTTCTGTCTTTGCTTTTTCTTTGAATCTTCAAATCTTTTTCAATTTTGCTTCTTTGTATTTTGTGGTTAATGTGCCCCACTCCTGCACATAACTGTCATGACCTACCATATTTAATTTCGTCATGTCCATTTTCTTCTTGTGCATTATTACGTGATTCAGCGATTTATATTATCGATTACAACTCTAATCACTTCAATTTTTCTATATATACGTCAGCTAGTTAATTTAACTTCTCTTTTCTTTAATTCTTATTTGAGGACAGAGATTTTTGGCTGAAGATTTATTCTTATCATGGCCAGGACACCAACAACCTGGTCTGGATTCGAATTATCATCAGATTTGGAGGATTTGGGGTTTCATTTCGTTGGGCTTCATCTAAGTTGATATCTTTCAGCTTAGAGCCTTCTTGAACTGCAATTTAAGAGCCTTGCTATATACTAGGTTCCTAACATAGGCTGGATATAGAGGAAAACTTGTGCCCATAGTTTATACAAGTTTCAATAAATTTTGGCTTTTTCTGATATCAGGAGCTTATAAGTATAATAAGCAGCATATATTTAGATCTTCTTTTAACTTTATATGCTTCTTTTTTGACATTAATCTTAGCTTGATAACAATATCCAAGGCTTCTCATTCTATTAAAATGTTCTATCTTGGTCTGATTCGTATTTCATTTGATTGTTGACTTTTTGTCTTGGATTGTATCTAAATTATCTTAGCAACCAAATTCATATTGTCCTTTCAGATTAACTTTGGCCTTTTTCAAATACCATTCCAGAGCTTTTGGCTTATTTGGTTCGATTTCATTAATTTTTTGAATCAGCAAATAACTCTTCAAATTTCTTCACCAAACAATAAGTTTTCTATTCGTCATATAGTGCAGATACAATGTTTTTGTTGGTATTAACTTCAATTCCGTTTTGGCAATAATATTTGCTTTTAATCATCTCTTTTTCTGATTTGATTTATCTACTTCGGCTGATTTTTGATAATGAATAAATGCTATATGTTCATTATTTTCAACACCAGTTCCATTATAATAGCAATCACCAAGTGCAAATATTCTATTATCATTTAGTTTCGTGGATCTTTAATAGTAATTGATTGCCTCATAATCACCCTTTTTTAACTTTGATTCCATATTCATAACAATTTTCAGGCTCTAATGTTCCACTAGCGTCTCCTAGATCTGCATTTTTTTTTTTTTTTTTTTTTTTTTTTTTAGCTGATAATCAACAAGGATCTTATCTTTACATTCTAATTGAAATATTTCTACAAGATTTTGTCGCAATGGATTCATTGGTATATTCTCATTAATTCTACTAAACCACTTGCATAATACACAGTTGCAAATTCTCCTTTCCCGTTTTCTTTAGCATTAGATAATCTATCAAACAGATTCCATTCATTCGCATCTTCATATTTCCAGACTCCAAGTTGAAATTCTTTTACGCAATCATCAATATCTATATTTCTGTTCATCTATCTTGTTGTTATATCTGGGTCACATGATAGGCACTATTCAGATATAAACGCTTTCTGCTTATTGATTTCGAATCCATCTTCTAAATTATTACAATAGCCAACTTGATATATTCTGCTCCAATTATTCATTTCTGTTGATTTTTGATAATGTGTGAATGCCACGTTTTTATTTTTTTTTGACTTTGATATCGCAAGGCCCAAGGTTATTTTGCTTGCTACTTGCTATCAATTTTGGATACCTTTTAAATATTTTGCTTTTATCTTTAGCTGAGCCAGTACCATTTTGATAGCAAGACCCAAGGTCATATTGTCCTTTCGAATCGTTATCTTTAGCAGATTTCAAGAGCCATTCTTGGATTTGATAGTATTTGCCAGCTTGAATTGTTTCTTTGGCAAGTTCCATTTGGGTAAGTTTCTTTTTAGCTTTTATTTCATTCTTGCAATCTCATTTGTCTTCAATCTCAGGTTGGTGGTAAGGTTTACCTGCTTCAAACGTCTTGTATTTATCTTTTTCAGAATTAGTTATCAATCAACATAATTCAATTCAGTAGATTTCACAGGCCCTTCGAAAGATTTTTCTTCCTTATCGGTGTTTATCCCATTGTCATGGTCTTTATTGGCAGACTTCTGATAATGAATGAACGCTATATGTTGATCTGCTTTAGCTTTTTCATCTTTTTGGCTCTAGCCTTGTCTTGATAACCATATCCAAGGTTCTTTATTTTATAAGTATTCCTCTTGTTTTAAGTTCCTCCTTTTTACATCCAATTCCATAATATCTGACATTATATAGTTCACTTCAATTCCATTAAAATAACAATATTTATCATCGTATAGTCAACTTTCTTCATTTTTTATTGATATTCCTTTTCATTATATGTTCGTCTTGATATATCGATCATGTGATACAGTAATTTGTCTTCGTCAAGATCACTTTGAATATATGTTTGCCAGCTAATTTAAATTCTCTCTTCTATCTTAATTGCATTATGATAATATCCAATGTATAAGTATTAGTCGACTGATTGTATGAATTTTCTTGAAAAATCTCTAGAGTCATATAGGAGCACAATTTCATAAACTTTATCTTTTTAACTCCAATTCCGTCTTCATAGCAATTATTGGGCCTAAATGTCCCACTGGGATCTCCTGGATTCGCTATTCCTTGGTACAGTAATACTCTAATCTTTTATCTCAATCTTTTTCAAAATCGTTATCATTCTGATAATGGTATCATTAAATATTCTTCTTATTTCAATGTTCTGTTATCTTGATTGTGCTCATCTTTAGTAAACACCATGAATTGTTATTACTGTTGAACCAATTTGCCCAATATACGGTTGTGAATTCTCCTTTTCTACATTCTGCGATACTTCTAAACTCATTATAACTAATCCATGTTAATTTAAATCTTTTATTGTTTTCTTTTTACTCTTTATCTTTTTCTACATCAATGTTACTCTGATATTAAGTGCTCTTCCAATATTTCCCATATAATTATACTAAATGAATAAATATCTAATGATGTTTAAAACTTCTGGTGCCATCTACAGTAAAGTCTTATAAACTTCCTCCTTTTTTTAAACTTTTCATATGCAGTTGCTGAGCATACAGAGCCAATCCTTCTTTACTGATTTTTTTATCATCAGATAATCCATTAAGTAGAATCCATTGAATCATATTTCTATATTTCGAGGCTCTAGGTTGGAATGTTTTCATACAATCATCAATGTCTTTATTTCTAATTATCCACCTTGCTGTTGTGCTAGGGTCGCATGATAGACACCATGCTGGTTGCTTGTTATCTGTTGATCCCCTGTTATGAATTTAGTTTATTCTTGTCAGCTTTATTGTCATCTCTACTATCAGATTTGACTTTTTAGAATTATTTAGATGAGCCTTTTAGGACTATCTATACCAGCTGGCTTTTAATAACAAATAGATGCCTTATGTCCTCCTTTTTAAGATCTATTCTCGTAACAATGTTCAAATTAAGACATTCTTTCCAAGTTACTTGTTTTCTGTAAATTTTCATAATTAGTGATTGCCTTACGATTGTTCCTTTTAACTCTAATTTCATCAGTAGAATCCATTTTGGCACATTTTGGGCAATCCAGTGAAGCTTCTTTTTTTGATTTTTTTTTTGTCTTGAATTTGTATTGATAATAATGGTTTCAATTCTATTTTAGCATGTTGACAATTAACAGGTCCTATCTTGGTTGGTTTTTGATACTTAGAGAATACTTTTTATAATTGCATACAGAGGTTTTTTTTTTTTGCTTAGAAGGCTTGTTTGATATTGATAATTACAGTAGTTAAGTGATTCTTTTGTTTTTTGACCATATTTAATCTCGTATAATCACATTCAGCCTTTTCAATCTTGGCATTTTTTCTCTGTGTATATCCCATGCTGGGTACTTGGAGCCGGAGTTACATTATGATAATGTTTTCTGTCTTTGGTTTTCTTCAATGAGGACACTTGAAGAATAGTTAACTCAGTGATTGACAATCACTTGATAAACATATAATGATATTATTTGTTTACCAGAATTAAAACAAACTAGCCTAAATATACCCTAACCCTAACCTAGGCCGAACACTTGTCATGTGATGTTGTGATGATCGCTGGGTTAACTCTTCTTCAATCTACCTCTTCAATGGTACTGTTTATTAAATCCTCAAATTGTGCTAAATCCATTGTAGTCATAAGTAAGAATTGGTTGAATCGATGGTAGGATTAGTTCATCTCACAGTCACCACCAATTGTAAAAAGGTAATCTTGATCCAAATCGGGAAAATCGGCGATAAGGATATCAACTAAGACTAAACTAATTCAAATCAACACACTAAACCACTAAACTATATCAAACCCTAATGGTGGAAGGCAGAAAGAGGCATGTAGAGACTTGGTCTGAGTTATTAGGGTCAAATAGAGCTCTAGATTACATCACGAGGCTCTAATTCAGGATCACAGAATTAAACTACTAATTCTTTGCGGATTTGACTTATCAGGGGAGGTAATTAGGACGATAGACTCTTCATGAGTCAAACTCTAATGAGCTATGCCCACTCTGAGTTATATTTTATTGAAGATAAGCTCAAAGCTCTTATATACTAATGTTTTACATACTAAGAAAAGATAGAATTAAATCGATTTTATCTTTTGTATCCTTTTTATCTATTTTATCTATTTTATCATTTTTATCCTTTTTGTCTTTTTTATCTTCGTCCTACCTTCTACTAACAACATATGGCAATTATTGCTGAAAATAGCAAAAATATGAAATAAAATATAAAAATAGAAATAGTATAGCCCTATTTCGGGTGGTGCTGCATCAGATTTGCCCATTACAATGGCCAAGAATTATAAGGTTATTGATCATCGAAGTATTGTATGACAAGATGGAAAAGATGGAAGGAATTAGAAAGTTTTTATTGAGTAAGAGATGGATTTGTTTACAGCATTCAATGATTTAGATATTTTAAAGGGAATTCATAGATTTCTTCAATGATAATTTGGTATAAACAAGAGATTTAGATTCTTGTTATCACATAGAGATTTACTACTGCGTAAGAAAATTCCACATGTATTTAAACCTCGAGTTTCCACCTTAATAAATATTTCTCAGACTTCAATCTGCTTTAAATAAAAATCTGAACCTTATAAATTAGTAGGCAATTCAAAGCCAAAAGCAACTTATAAACTCTTTATTGTTTATTCGAATTCTCACGCTTCTGTATTTATTATAAATTCTTTATTAAATATTACGCTGCATACATCTATCGATCTAATTTAGACTCGATTCTTTATTACTCTCTACATTGTTATCATTACTATATAATCTGCATGCCAGATTTCACAATCATATTTTCATATTCTCACACTATTAACTCTAAAAGTATCTTACAGGCCCCCGCTATACTCATCCGATATCCCTTCATAACTATTAATATTCCTGACCTATATTGTTTACTGTCTTGCTCTAAACCGGTACATCAATTATTTTAGCTCTCTCAAAGATAGTAACAACAGGTAATTCAGTGATCAATTAATTTATTGATCAATTGTTTGATAAATCAGTAATAACAATGCATCACAAGAATAAGGGTTTATTCAATGTATTTTTCTTATATAACCAGAGAACTTTATAGATGCTTTAATACTCTCTCTTATGCTAGGTAACCAGAGAAAAAGTAACGGCGTCGAAGTCATGAGGACAAGGAGAATTCTACAATAAGTATTTATTCTTGAACTGTGGTTTTAAATAAGAAACAATTAACAATTAACACTTCTACTCTTATTTCGAAGATGTTAATGTCAAACTTTTATTTGTACTAGGTTCAGGTTTTTATAAGTGACAACTTAGTTCTTTTATTTGGACAGAAAATAATAGTATTAATGTAAATCAATTCAGGTCAGAAAGAATACTTTTAGTTCAAGGAAGCAATGAGTTTTAGAAAAAAAACTCCTACTATCAAGACTTAGAACTCATATAAGTTATCTTTATTTTTGAGCAAAAAGGTCGGGCTTAAATAATTTCTGCTCTTTGCTGCGTATATAGCAGATAAACTTTACTAATTTTTACTATCTTACTCTAATTCTTTAGCTTGCTAATTCAACACAATATAAATGGTATTTTTAGAAGAGAATACAGGTTTAAATCAGCTCAAATGAAACAAATTGTCCCTAGAAACAAATTGTCTCTAAGGACAATTTGTCCCTAGGGACAATTTGTCCCTCTATGAGAACCTATAATTGGCAGTGCCGATCTTTTCTTCCTGACATACTAATACTAATTACATATGAGAAAATAAAAAAAAATAATAATAGAATGATAGAAAGAAAGAAATTATGGCTCATGACTGTTGGGAAGCCACTCACAACTAGTGATGTGCCATGTACAGTATTATACGTACAGTACTATACACAAAAATTTTTGCTGATCATTTATTAAGAAGGACCCGGTGATATGCAAATTGACCAATCATATTTGTTAATTTGATTAGCACAAATATCAGATATGTGTTTTTTTGTCAGATAAATTAAATATATTGTTTTTTTTCTTAATATACACATATGATTATATATATATACTATATATTACCGAATAGAAGCTACCCCTCGATTTTGGATCCAAAAATCTGAAAACGGTTACTATGTTTTAATAGTAAAA